AAAATATTTAGAACACGCGTTAAGCAACAACATGAAAAGCTTAATAAAACAGTGGATGTAACAAGGAACTCATGGCGAAAATAAAAGAATTAAGGACAAAGGAAAAAAATAACAGAGTCAGGGCGGGAAAATTAGTAAGAAAATGAAATCATTAAAAAGTAAATTAAACAAATTAGTGCTAGATTGGAGCAATTCGTGAAATGATGAAAGAAAGATAATGTGACAGTAACGGAATCAATAGAGAGAGCCAGAGAGCAGTGAGATAGCAGTGAACAGTTGTATGGAGGATCTCATCAATTTGAAAACAGCGGTTAAAAAAAGATAAAAAGCGGTTGTAATACATTTACAAAATTTAGACGAGAGAAGAAAAGCTATGTTAAGAAATTTACAACAAAATATTTTTGTCATTAAATCAAAACAAATACACAAATGAAAAAAGGTATGCTCTAAAACATCATAAACGAAAAAGGAAGAAGCGAGCTACTAAACAAAAGCGTGAAATTAGATTAGGAACATGAAACTTCTGAAGCACACTCGAGGAAAGAGCACCAAAACACTTAACAGTGGTTTATGAAATAGCGAAAAAAAAGACAATATTTTCACATAATATTTACACTGGAGGAAACAACAAGCTTCTGGGAGTGGGATTTATTATTAATAACTGTAGAACAGAGGCGTCAGAAACGACGATTCAGAAAAGCGTAGCTGGAAGTGGTGGAATGAGATCCAAGAATTATTGAAAGATCGCAATAGGGGAACCTGAATTGATAATGCAATAAATAATAAATAAATTGATCTTTTTTTTTGTTTTCGTCGCATTATAATATTAACACATATTAATCTGTATTCAGTTTTCAGCAAAATAATCTGATGCCTCCGTGCAAAATACACGATTGATCAGCCGTTAGAGCGCTTAGTATGTGATCCATCTTAAAACTGTCATTCTCTGATAAAAGGGATGCTAAAGTTAAGATCTCGCGACTTGACGTGTATACGTCGTGCTCGGTTTACGCCGCCAACAGATAACTTCGCACTTTGTCTCTTTTATTATAAGAGATAAAGTTTCGGCGGGAAATTATACCGTCATCATGGTGAGTCGTTATGTCATGGCAGGTTAAAGCCGATTTTTATTGGAAGTCATTTTACGCCCTCCAGTTGTTTCCATCTTAATCGAAACTTTCATCTTGCGCGACGCAACATGTAAACTTGGCTTTTTTATTCGCCTAATTGGATTTCACCGGATACCGACCTAAATCGCCAGATGTCGCATGGGTTCCGCGGTCGTATTTATTAAATTCCTGAAGACACTGGAGATTTTTAAATAAGAAATATTGGAGGTCCTTTCTGGAATTTAATATGTTAATATTTCTGTTCCTGAACAAGAAGTAAATATTCAGAGATATAGTGATACACAACCCCTATTGAAAGTTGAACACATAAACCGGCAAAGCGTGCTTTTCGAGATGAAAAGCTCTATTCGTATTTTGTTTGAATGGGAAACTTATTGCGCCATTTTCCGAATGGCATGTGATCTGCAGACTAAACTATTTTAAGTTTCGAGAATATGTCAGCGACGTGTACTTCAGAGATAATAAATTCTGCGCCAGTTTAGACGTGTTGCTACGTGGAAAGGGTGCGGAATTTACTTCTGACACGATCTGAATAGACCTTTTTGCAAAAAAAATACTGTTTAAAGAGAAAAATTAAACAAAGGAGTACTTGCCATTTTCTTAACTTAACGAAGGCAGGATTAATTAATGCAGTAATGGCTAAAGCTTTTAAAATGAGTTCTACTATAAAAACTTCTAAGCACCTAGGGGTAACAAGATTTAAAATTTATAGTCAGAACATTATTTTTGCATCCATTATAATTTCACTACACTATGAAGTTAAAGTTTGAAAAAGTTAAAGATCAGTAGCAGGTAAGAGAATTTCACTACAAAAAAAAAAAAAATTAAAAGCAGCAGAAACGTTATGTGAAAAGAAATTACAAAATCAAAATCTTTTCAAAGATGAATTTTAAAAGCCCTTTGTTCATTAAAAAAGAGTTTATTTCTTTAACATACGTCTAAATATTTTCTGATTTTAACACATGAGAGCAGTACTGTTCGAAGAATGATACGAAAATGAGCTTTTCCCAATTAGTCATGGACAATACCCCACCATACTCACGACTATCTCAAAAAATTCCACAATACTAGTGTTTTTTTTAATTTTGAAAAAAGTTAATATTACCAGAGCAGAAAAAAGTAAAAAGTAATTATTGGAAATTGTAATAAATAATACACTGACCGGCAAAAAAAACCGGCCACTCTGAAAAATTTTGCAAAACCACTTCAAAAATTATTAATTTAAATAGTGATCGTTATTTAATTAAAGAACCATTCACTATTGACACATGATATACAAATTAGCAAAAAAGAAGACAATTAAACGCAGAATTAAATTTAATTTAACAAAATAACAGAAACAGACCAAGTACGATATTTTCTTAAAAAAAAAAACAATAAAGAAAGCTATTGTTGTAAACAGTGTTTTTCATCATTTGGTTATAAGTTTGGCAATTAATAAACGTTTTCACCCGAAAATATCCCGTTAACTCTTACAGACGTCTCTCAAAGTGTTGCTCTATTTCTGTTATTTTGTTAAATTAAATTTCATTCTGCATTTAATTGGCTTCTTTTTTTTGCTAATTTATACCTCATGTATCAATAGTGAATGGTTATCTAATAAAATAACGACCACTAGTTAAATTAATAATTTTTAAAGCTTGGTTTCGCCAAATTTTTCAGGGTGGCCGGTTTTTTTTTGCCGGTCAGTATATAAAAACATAATAGGTTTTCAAAATAAAAAAATATATATATTTTTACTCACAAAATGTAACCCTAAGTGTCATGGACAAAACCGACTTGTTCAAAAACTAATAGCAATAAAAAATTGAGAACCATTTTCAAACACCATGTAAAATATTTTCCTTATGTTATAAAAAAAAATGCATTAACGTTTAATGCAGGAAACTAACTCAAAGGTATAAAACCTTTGACAAAAAACAGTTAGTTTATTGCAACGCAAATTTTGCAAGTAGTTCGTAACTTGTAATTAAAAGTAGCCACAAACTTCTGAGACTATAACATCCCTTTGATGCGCAGTGAGAATTGTTAGAGGCTTTGTATACTTTAACCTAGGTAATGTGGTTTTGGACAATGGTTAAATAGTTTTCGTGCTAGAAACATAATCAAGAAGCGGTTAGTGTTTCCAAGAATAAATTGAGAATGATCAGATTTCAAACGCCGCACCAAACACAACCGAAAAATAATTTCATAAATCGTCGGTGACAAATGATACAAAAATTATTTATTACTCAGAGTAACCAATAGATGACTGGAGACTAATTACTTATATTGCGGGGGTTGTTGAGTGGAGAGTTTAAAGTTTCAGGCACTTGAGCCTCACGACTGACAGCGTTCGTTTGTATCTCAGTTTTACTATCAAGTTAGAATAGTTGCATAATTGAAACGTAAGAGGTCAGAGAGACAGTTCCCACAATATGGCTGGGGTAATCTAATTTTAAGCTTCTCAGCTCTATCTTGCATTAATGTTTTCTAAACCTCTTGTTTAGTAAATGAATTGATGTTCAAACTTTTAACACAAGTAACTATTATAATTGTGTCTGGCTTGTAACTTTAATCTGCTACATTCAATTAAATAACTTTTGACTCAGACTTAAGACTACTTTATCAATAAATTTTCAACCATTTACAGTAAAAAAATAAATAGCGCAAATACAACTGCTGGAAATTAAGTAGTTTAGTAAACTACATACAGATCAATAACGCAGTGAAGACATGTAATAAGTATACCTAAGGCAATTTTGTTTTTTTAACATACGCATAAAATTTGCAGACTCTGGGGATAACTAAACGACGAAAAAACATAAAAGTAGCCATTTACCGGATAGACCTTATTACCATACTTTTTTAGTTTGCGCTCACGAAATAAAAACAAAAGTATAAGTACTACATATTTAAGCATAAGTAACAAACTTTCATCACAATTTATTTTAAAGCTATACATTAAAAGTCCACGAAGTCAGTTTTGTGTCTTAAACCTATTATACGTATAGGTGTTTCCAATACAAATTAGAAACATGAATAACGATAAGCCACGCAGTTATGTATTATTTACGTTATCCAAATCTAATCCACTACTACAAATGTAACTCCATTTTGTCTAATCGTGAAAGTTATAGCTACCGATAAATTTAGTCTAGTTACTAAAGTGCCAGACATGGGTTATTTAAATTGAGATTAATGATTTTAAGTTAAATTATTATTACAAGAATAATCCTTCCTTACAACTGGACCGTTTAATACAGAAAATCAGCATTTTATTCGTCCTACAATAGCTAGACAATAGTTTTTTCGTATTCGTGGGGATTAGAAAATTATTACCTACATATGCATTAAATACTTGTTACAAAATCTTATCGAAATATATATCCTGTACGATATTACATATTCCGTCTTTCTCTCCCAAATTATAAATACAAAAATTATTCTTCATTAATGTCTCTTATTATTTTAATTTCTCCGTTAATAAACCCACAAAATATTGAAGTAAGTAAATGAGTCTAAAAACAGTTTACTGTGTCACTTTCAAGCACCACTCATAAATGCTTTTTAGGAGTAAACTGAAAGGTTTACGCTCCGACTCCCACTCCTGCAAATTAAAGTTTATTAAAAGAAAATTCCCCGAATTGCGGTTACGCGCTTCAACGAGTCGCATTCGTCTAATCCAAATTAATTCCATCAGTCAAAGCCATGTTTATGCTTCGATACAGCAATTGTGCTTCCGAGAACGTCGAAATAACAATGCATGTTGCACACACTCGGAGATAAACGAGGTCAAATTCAATTCCCAAATCTCCAACATAATATTACAATACAAGGCAATTTAAAATTTTCTCTTTTTTGTATTAAAGCGACGATTTTATTTTACAGAACGAAGCACTTCAAGTTGCCTTGGAATCTCTCTTGCTGAAAGAAAAAGAATCTAATCCCAGTAGGTACACCTGTCTGTAAGTATATTTCATTGCTTCATATGTGACTGTATTGACATTATTCGAGAGGAATTTAGAAACGTCCAAAGGGCTGCTTCAAGCTTACGTATCCTCTGGTTTTATAAATAATTCATCTAAGCCACTGACAGGCAATTAGAAAGATAATTACAGAAGAAAATTAACTTATTGCTTTTACTGACGTTACAGAAGTAATTTCTTTACGTCGTGTTTAAACGCGAATTGATTCTAAAAATTGCCTCGTCACATCTGTCAGAGTGGTTACCCACTTAAAATTTTTGTATAACTGTATAACGATTTCGTGTTGCAAATCTGGATTTGAAACTTGGTCAAACCCAAAAGCAGGCTGTGACAGGGCACTTATCGCTGTTAACAATTAATAGTTTGCTTTGTTGAAGAGGATGGTCCGTATCGATTTATTTGTGGTACTAGCACAGACTTGCAAACAACTGAGAAGCAGGATGTGACAGCTTCGTAAATCAATTAAATGAAATTTTGGAATAAGTAAATCATCCCTTACTGAACTTCTGTTTCTGATTGTAACACTTGCACTTGCTAAAAATAAAATAAACTGTTTCCATATGCAAGAAAAATTAATTTTCTTTTAAGGGAATTTTTGTTCATTTCCGTTACATTCGTAAAACAGATCTTTTTCTTGCAATTCACTTTGTGCGTTTGTGTTAAACTCTCCACTTGGCACTCTTTTTTTACTAGAGTCCACTACGTGACTGTTTACTTTCTTTTCTTTGTCCCAGTTTATGCAGGAACTAGACTTTCAGAACACTTACGTGGAGCAAGAATGCGCGAATTTCCACTCTCGGACGTTTTGTATTCCAGAATACTACCGACAAAATTAAGTCATTCGATTCGTGCCATTAGGATGTCGCTTATTATTATTTGCATAATAATGAATCTCACGTAACGATATGCTTTCATACACAATTATAAATTTTGAAGCAATTGACGTGCTGTTGAATAATATTAGTCAATATTTATTGAGTGTAGGTATATTACCACAGAGAAGACACAATAACTTCACTAGTAAAAACCCAGTGTGATAAAGATGTGCAATAATTTGTAAAAAAGGGAAACATGTAGCTTTCTGGAATGTTAAATTTTCATTAAAAAAAAATAAAATGAACAAAAATTTGTTTTAACTGTAGAGAAATAGGGTATTGCTTATCGGGTTACAACATCAGTAAACAAGACACCTTTCAGGACTCTACATCGGCCATCCTGCACAGGCACCCAAACTCATCATTCAAACATTACACTATTGTATTTAATTAGTCACAATCACCGTGGTCACAATTCAGAAACTGTCGGACCGTGAACATGAATAAGACCGTCTTTTATACTCGCCAGACAGGAAGCTTCGGTTATATCCGGTGACACTCGATGGACTCTACGTAACGACGACGTTCAGGAGTTATTGTATATCTGAAAATTTAAGAAACGTAAAAATAGCTTCGCTATAAATGAAACTAAATAAGTGTGTATTAAAAAATACGTCTTTAGGGACGCGTATTGATTCTGCTTCAGGGGTAAAAGAAGTTAGAAGTGTAGAATTTTTTTTCAATATTTTTATATCAAAGTGCCTATGGCATGAAACATTTCTTATGGTAAGGCCACGTTGACTTGCGACAAGAGCAAGAATGTGGAAAATAATTTACTTATTTGATATCACGTACCACAATATACAAGCGTGTTGTTTTATAAAATTTATATAGTATTTACTTTGCAAAAATTTTGAGATGACATCATAATTATAAAATTTCACGACGATCACTCGAGTAGTTTTCAAGACTATCTGTCTAATAAAATCGCGACCAGACGGGGTTATGAAATGACAGGAACACATTACATTAGTCGTTCTCCGGATAGACGCTATTACAATTCTTTTCTGGGTCAGTAAAAAATAAAATTTGATATATTCAAAAAGAACGATCGATCCTCAGGCAGTTTAAGTTAAATGACAGCAAGAGAAAAGTATTGAAATGGGATCATTCTGACGAATATATATTTAAATTCATGTTTTCTTAGAGTTTTAGAACTTGTAGAAAATATAAATAAAGGCAGGTGTTGTTTTCCATTTATGGTATTTTTATCTGTTTGATTGATGGAAACATTTTGAACAAATAATAACCAACACTATTACATTTACCACAAAATTTTAACAATAGTTTAAATCATCATGGGGATAAAACACTACGAAATAGAATTGTCTCCTTCGAGGCATTATTGCCGTCGTCTGATTTTTACTTCCCAAACTTAAGTCAAAGAAATATTGTAATAGGGTCCCTAGAATACGAAAAAATAGATCTATCGTTTCCATCTGTCTGTAGTCTATGGTCTGACTGTCGTCTGTGTTGATTTTTATTAGCAAAATAATCTCCGAAACTACCGGGCAGATTGTTGTAAAATTTTATGAATGTATTGCGAATATCATGTAAATGGTAAAACGGTAACCAAAATTCTTCACCAACAACGTGATGCAGTCGTCTCAAAATTTTTAAAAACAAATATTTTTTAATTTTATAAAGTAGTATACTTCCCACTTGTAGTTTACGAATTCGCATTAAGTTTTCATCACAATTAATTTACAAAAATGTTTCTGCAATGTTCGGTGCTTGTTGGATATAACCGATATCTAGCGCACGTGCATACCAAGTGCATTGCGGCCGCATGTGTTACGGCGCCAGATCGAATTCGATCGAATCTCATCTTTGTTGACTTTTTTTTTCTATCAAATCAAGAAAGGTTCACCCCATTTTCTCGAAATTTACACTAATGTCGCACCCGCCTATATTTAATTACAATAAAAATTATTATTATTACAACAACAGCTCCTCACTCAAAATAATATTCGAACCGTTTTGAGGCATTGAAGCTTAATTAATTAATAGTCCTATCCTCTGTGTTTTAAGGAGATAAAATCAATCATATTTCGTTTTCTTTTAACACAATTGGTAATGTGACGTGATTACAGTAGAATTATTTCGAAGTATAAACATAAACATACGAAGTTAAGCATGTAATTATCAAGAGTACATTTTTTCCATTGCTTATCTGATTTAAATATATTTCATATCTCCACTATCCACACTTGCGTAGACTATACCCCCTTACAATTTGCGCCCCCGCGGTGCAGGTGCTGAGGAGGGTGTTATTTACGCCACTGGTTTTTCATAATTTTTCTAAGAACCGGTATTTGTTGGACAGCACTTCAGGGGCGAGGGAAGTTCTCTCCAAATTAACTTTGGCCATTTTTTTCCTTATACTATGACTGGTGTACTTGTACTTTAGCAATCCATACATATTTCTACTTTAAGTTATAAGGATTATTTTAATTTTATAATTTTTCGAAGAAGTTGTAATTGTTGGACTGCACTTCAGGGGATGTAATGACAAAATAACCCTGGACCAATTTTTTTCTATTACGAACATCTGGTTTTTTCTTTAATTACAATACAAAATGCTGAGAATATTATTTTGCATGCAAAAAATTACTGTTCTGAGTTTGTGGTTTCTTAGAAAAATGCATTTGTGTCGATGCAAAATCTATTCCTCGATAGTAGAGCAGCCGTTAACAATTCACTGTTTTCTTTGATATTTCTATATATGTTGTTGTGAGTGACACCTCATTTAAAACAATCGCTTATAGAAAATGACTCAAAAAATGTATGAATGAGGCAGTTTATCTTGTTGATTAAGTAATCAAGAATGGCTCACATTATTTTCCAGAAATCACTCGGAACTTATGGAGGTTACAATAAACAACATAAAATTAGCAAAATTAAATTTTATAAATATCTGAAAAAGTTGGATCAGTTGTAGTGTGCTTCAAGGACAAGGGTAGTTCTTTTTAATAAGTCTCATTGGTAACATATAGCCTGATTGCTTCTTTATCTGTGAAAAAATAACACTGCTACTATAACAAATTCGACAATTCATTCAATAAAATTTGAAAAATACTTGAATTTTTATAAAAAAAAAATCCCACGTATTTAAAAAAATAATACTCCTAACTTGTGCACTCAACATTACTTTACATGGAACGTTATACCACATGATCGAAAAAATTCCTCTAAAAGTCATGATATTTATTACTTCTCGAGCGTAAGCTAAGGAAGTATTGACGAGTCCAACGGACGACTAGCGACTCTTATGTTTTCTCGACGTTTCATGACCCCTAGAGGATGAAACAGTGGCCTCCCGTTTCCGTCTGTCTGTCGTAAGTCTGTCTTGTGAGTTAAATTTTATAGAATAATATATGTGCTTTTATACTTATGATTTATGAATCGGCATTGATTTTTGACCCTAGACGTCAAAATTTTCACAGAAAAAACCCAAATTAGAACAACCTTTTATCAACGACGGTGAAGAGAACGATTTCATAGCGCAGCTGGTTGCTATGATAGAATGCGAATCTGTCGCACGTTCGTGATTTTTTCGAAATAACCGTCGACCATTTTTTTTAAATTTTGTTCACACTGTAGATATTTGACAATTTATTTGACAGTTTTTTGACCATAACTGTCAAGCTGAGTAAGGAACTTACCTTAGTCTTGCCAACACCATGATTTATTAAATATTAATTTCATGACATACTACAGGATTTTTTCGATCTTAAACATATTAATGAATCAGGCATCATATTTTATCACATCTCAAAAACGTTTCATTTAATTTTCCGCAAAATATAAAACCTTTTAAGGTATTATTAGTAGATAATACTAAAGAAATAAATTCTAACTTTACATTTTTCGGACGACTTGTCAATTTCATGTTTTCTCGACGTTTCATAACCCCTAAAGTACGAAAAAAGTCATCTCCCGTTTTTATTTGTTTATCTGGCGTCTATGTCGATTTTTATTAGAGACGTAATCTCCGAATGTACTGGACCGATTGTTGTCAGATTTTACATGTATATTAGGAATATCTAGATGCTTAACCGCTAAGTACAATTTGACTCGTAAAATTATTTAAATGTTAAACAA